CGGGTCGGGTTGTTTCAGTCCCTATTTATCTACCTTTTTTTAGTGTTGGTCTTTTCAAAATGATTGTTTGAGGTGATTTAAATATCGTATTCAACCAACTTTGTTGCTTCCAAAAAATTGTGGAAAGCACGTGTTTTTATGTCTTGCCAGTTAAAGAGACTTAAATGCATTATGTTGAGAGGGAAATACTTTTCATACGAGGAATACTTTACCGTTTAGGTAGACCTTTATAACTCTCTTAATTTTGTTGTTTTCGCAACATTTCTATTAATTATAATTTTGTGCGGGTGTGATATTTGGCTTGGTTTCAGTATATGTCATGGTGTTTGATTGCATTTTAATATTTTGTTTCAGCTTGGTCTTTGGGCTTTGTGGTATAATTATTTCTTTGTTAGATTTATGACGTATCCGCTTTTTGCAAATTCGTTGTAAAATTATGATGGAATTGCACCATATTTCTGGATCGTCGCTAATATATTGTAAACAACTCCTTGTGGAAACATAATTTTGAAAATTTTCATTGCAAATCAATCAATGATATATTGCTAATAGCTTTTTCGGGATGGGCTATGGGCGGCGCTCCTAGGGCTCTCGAACGCGATTTTTAGGGTTTCTTTCGACGGATTTGCTCTATCTTGTAGCGCTCTGCATCCCTGAAGCTTTCTCTTTGTGTGAATCTACCTTACAGCATATTGCTGAATTGTTACAAACCTTCTCGACGTGTTTTACGCCAACTATGTCAATGGCTAATCGTTTCTCTCGAGAAGAGAAAGGCAAAGGAGTGGTTGGATCTAACAAGTGGATTAGGGAAAAACCAATCCGCCTCCCCGACGAACCGCAAGATGAACTCATCGAAGCAAATCGCCTGTCCTTGATTGGTAGAGTACTTAACCAAGATATTCAACGTCCTCATGCTCTAATAGGGTATATGGTCCAATACTGGAGACTTGAAGGACATATCACGGGTAAGGTCCTTGGGAGAGATCGGTTCCAATTCAAGTTTGAGAACGAAGTAGATCTCGAAGCTGTACTAAAGGATGCGCTGTTTCACTTCAAACGATGGATGTTCATCCTCCAAAGGTGGGAACCTGTGATAGCCGATTCCTTTCCATCGCCCATACCATTCTGGATCAAGATCCAAAGTATTCCCCTTCATGGAGGTACGACAAGAAACCTCAGGGCAATAGGCAAAGTCCTAGGCGACTACATGGATGTGGATACATATGACAATAGGGTACGTGTTAACGTTAATGCCCTCCAGCCACTGGTAATGCAAACCTCGGTACAATTCCCCTCTGGGGATATGGTATCCATTGAACTGCAGTACGAAAAGCTAGAGAAACATTGTTTCGTATGCCTATCTCTTGCTCACGAAGAAAAGAATTGCCCGCGATCCTCAGCATCAAAATCTTCTGTGGTTCCAAAACCTCCGAGCATTAATCAAATCAATACTCGTATCCGGTTGGAAACACATAGGAAACGACATGAAGATCCTCATCTCCCATCGGCTATGCTGCCAACCAGGGATTACTCATCTAGGTCCACGGAACACCATGAGGCTAATAAACTCACAAAGTACAGAAATGATTGGCACCAAAGTTCCCGTGACAACGAAGGCAACAGTGATACAACAAGAGGATTTAACGGATCCCGGTATCCCAATCATAACCGATCTCCTCCTTCTCCAAGATGTTTAGACTCTCGTCACGACTCTTCCTCACGGCAAACCAACTCCCACTGGCAACGAGTTGAAAACAGAGGAACAAACATAACTCGTAATAAGTCTCATAACTCAAGACTACCTCGTAATGATGACTTATTTAATGCGACACGGGACCGACCATCAAAGGAATTTCAAAGAGCAATCACTCTTCCTCATCAAGACAAAACCGGGAAAAATGGAACTATCACTAGGATTAGCACCGGAAATGATAGGCAACATAGTGACGATAGGACGGGAAACATCAACCCCAAACCTAGCCCTTTCTCAAGACTATCTCCTAAATCCCCGGAGCATGTGGTCACGTTTCGTGAAGCTACTAGTGCAGCATCAAAAAGCTTGGATCAGAATCGTTTGAACCAAGAGGATGTTATCTTCAATTCTAACTCAAAATCGAGAAGACCAGCACTAGAAAGAATTGAGGGGTCTAGCAACCCAAGAGATAGGTAATTTCTGGAAGAATTTGATCCAGAAGAGGATGACCTCCTTGATGTATCGGTTCAATATTTGGAGGAAAATACATCTCACAACGTTAACTATAAAGATCTCAAAAGAGCTGCTGTGCAAACAGATCAAGATGATTCATCGGGGGCCACCATTCCCGACCTGCCTTCTCTAACAGATGGCAATATATCCCTCTCAAAGAGATTGGGACCTCTCAACAGTACGACTAACTCAAACAAAATAGCGGGTTCTGAACCGAAAAAGAAAGGTGGCTTAAAAAGGACTTCTGGTAAAGCAAAAGCTAGCCCCAACAAACGCGTTCCAAGGAGCCCTTTACAGGGAGTGAGCTCAAAGAAAAGACATAATTGATATGTCCCATATTTTACCTATATTACTATCTATTTTACTATATTTTCTATGCATTTATCTACGGTTTTATGCCTTTAAAGGTAGTTTTCTCGTATTTTTAGTTTTAGAGTCTTTACAGGGAAATCAAGCAAAAGGGATCTAAACGAGCCAAAATAGGTGTAAACCAAGCCACAGAAATTTTCACAAGCCAAAGAAACCATCAATAACCAAGAATTCACAAGAAACAACATTCTACCAAATTGGACAGAACGTATACGCCAGAAGTTTAGCAGTGAGCGAAGGATTAGATCGATTTGGAATTAGATGAAACTTGGTGCGAAGATAGATCTTTGAGTCAGATTTACAATGAAGTTTGAATAGTCTCAATTGGAGCTATGAGAAAGAAGATACACTGGAATTACTGAAGACACGTCAAGTTGCCTCAGAAACGAAGCAAGTGCAGAATCGACCCAAATACCGGGCCACCTCGTGGACCGATATTCCAGGCCGATGCCAGCAAAAATCAAGACACTTTGGACCCAATACCGGTCATGTCTTTGGGCCGACACTCCCAACCGACTTTGGGAGAGTTTTGACGTAAAAAGACCGAATTGTCCTAAATTCATTCC